TTTGAAATTATAATGTTTGAAAAAGTTGGCTTATAAATTCATATCTTAGTAACGAGTTTGTTTATTTCATCGCATTTTGACATGTCATTCGAAATTTGTCACAAATCACACAAATTCATCAACAATTTTAAAATGTTCCAAAATCCCGAACATATTGCTAATAAGGCCAAAGAAATCGTGTTGGATTTACTTCCTGTGAAGTCTCGTGCCATTTACCAGAAAGAATATGATGTTTTTAATGAATGGAAAGACAAAAATGGCGTATTCGTTGTAAATGAAGATGTATTGCTAAATTATTTCCACGAAAAAAGTAAGTACCTAGGTACTTACTTTAAACAAATAACTTAGCTTTTGATATTGTTAGTATTTAATAATTTAATTATAAATATATGTATAATTTTATGTGATTTTGTGACAAATTTCGAATGACAAAATAAAACAACCAAATAACGAATTTAGACATTTTAGTCCATAAAGGTTGCCATGACGACCTTTACGGCCTAGGCCGAAAAAGAAACATTTTACGGACTGAAATGAGTCCGTAAAATAGCTGTTTTTGGGAGCGTATGACAAAAATAAATTTTTAGGAACTCGTACAATTTTTTGACACGGTGATCGATTTAGATAAAAAAAAACTTTAGATACTCGTACAATTTTTTGACACGACGATCGATTCTGACGATTGTCATTTCAAAAGTAATTTGACGCCGTTTTTTGGAATCATATGTATGCCATGTGTATACTTATCTAATAAGTAAAGTGTATTCATTTAGAATATTAAGAGATTAATTCAGACGAAAAAAATCAATATAGGCAGAAAGTATTCTTTAAGATTGTTTCTACAAGTTTTATTTAAAAATTGTAACAGAGAACTATTATTATTATAGGGCCCCTCTCGGACCGCTTGGACGAGTCCATTATAAAAAAGAGCGAGGGACAGTAGGTAGAAAAAACATATGATTTGATTTGTCACGGAAACGTAAAGTTTATTAATAAAAGTTTTTTGTTGAAATTCTTCGAGTTTATCATAAAGTTTATGGTTCGACACCCAACAAAATAATTATAACGAATCCCCGTCACAAGATATAAATAATTTAAAGTCTAATCTGGCGAGTTGAGTTTGGATGAAACTGTAAAGAAAATGTTTAAAAGTGTAATGTAATCATTTAAATTTAAATAAAATTCATATAGCAGTAAATTAGTAAAAAAAGTGTAGGTTTAAAAGCATGAACTTCTGGGAATTCCCTATTTGTATAGTCTGGGAACCACCTACTTTTCTGGGAAACACATACTTTCAAGTTCAATTTATTAGAATTGTGATTAAAAGAAAGCACTATACTCATTCATATTGCGATTAATGAATATTAATATTAATAATATTATACTACCATATAATACTCAAATTAAGTTTTCGAATACATAGTAAGTAAACATAGATAGAAGATAGAACATATTATAGAGATGCAACCATAGAACGTGTTTGTCATATTTATATAGTGTTGGTAGATAGCATCCAACCGTAAACTGAATATACAACGTAGTACTGTTGCAATCAATATTTTTGTTACACTAAAATTACTATTTTAGATCTTACTGAACGTAGTAATGTAATAAAATTAATTATTGTACTAATTAACAACCATATAATCGAGAAAAAAAAACGGCGTCAGCTGTGGCATGAAATGAAGATTGCTGTCATTTTATACCGGGTGCGTCTCAAAAGTGGCTCACCCCTATAACTTTTTATTTTTTCAGATAAAAAACGAGATTTGGTATGTAAGTATATGACATAAATTGGGAATGATTGACGTATTCAATTGTTTTTGGTCACTTCCTGTTTCACCGAAAATGACTACAACTTTTGATTTTAAATGACACCCCGGTATATTTTTACATTATTTGATAGAAAATGACACTCTGAATCGAATGACATATCATATGTCAACTTTTGACATTCTCGCTTTAAACAAATTGTTTTTTAAATTTCAATCTAGAGTGCCATGGCTGTATTAAAAACACTAATTTTAATCAAGAAGCCTTGGAAAAATAGATTTGATAATCTAATGATTTTCGTGTCTTGTCCGGGCCCGTTGTTTTAAGATGCCCAAATCGTATTTTTAATCATATCTCAATTTTTCCAAACGGAACAAGGGAGGCTCGTTAGCATATTTGGAAAAAGCATTTTTTACGAATAATTTGGTACCACACACATGGTATTTCGAGTCAAATTGTCATTATGAACCGCATGTTACAATTTCAAATAAACCATATGAGAAAATGTCAAAAAATTGACATATTATGATGTCATTCTATTGAGGGTGCATCCACACTATCCTAAAAACGGCGTATCGGCGTAACGGCGTAACGACCTTGAATAGATTTCCAGTAATTCTATTGGCTGAAAAATTCATCTATCAGAAATTTTATCTGTCAAATTCATCTGTCAAAAATTTCAGCCCATAGAATTACTGGAAATTAGAGTAATAATAACTTTCATATATAGAGATGCAACCATAGAACGTGTTTGTCATATTTATATGGTGTTGGTAGATAGCATCCAGCTGTAAACTGAATATACAACGTTATTACTTGTAGCAATCAACATTTTTGTTACACTAAAATTACTATTTTAGATCTTAGTGAACGTAGTAATCTAATAAAATTAATTATTGTACTGATTAGCTACCGTATAATCGAAAAAAAAATCAGCGTCAGCGATGGCTATGAAATGAAGGTTGCTGTCATTTTATACTGGGTGCGTCTCAAAAGTGGTCCACCGCTATAACTTTTTTATTTATTTTTTTTGGATAAAAAAAACGAGATTTGGTATGTTAGTATATGACATAAATTGGAATTGATTGACGTATTCAATTGTTTTTGGTCACTTCCAGTTTCACCGGAAACGACTACAACTTTTGATTATTAAATGACACCCCCGGTATGTTTTTACATTATTCGATAGAAAATGACACTCTGAATAGAATAATATATCATAATATGTCAACTTTTGACATTTTTGCTTAAAAAATCTTATTTTAAATTTCTATCTATTATAGAGTGCCATGGATGTGTTAAAAACACTAATTTTTAATCAAGGAGCCTTGGAAAAATAGATTTGATAGTCTAATGATTTTCGTGTCTTGTCCGGGCCCGTTATAAGATATCAAAATCGAATTTTTAATCATATCTCAATTTTTTCAAACGGAACAAAGGTGGCTCGATAGCATATTTGGAAAAAGCATTTTTCTACGAATAATTTGGTACCACAATTTGGTACTCGAGTCAAATTGTCATTATGAACCGCATGTTACAAATAAATCATATGTGAAAATGTCAAAAATTGACATATTATGATATGCCATTCTATTCAGAGTGTGATTTTCTATCGAATAATGTAAAAACATACCGGGGGTGTCATTTAAAAATCAAAAGTTGCAGTCATTTCCGGTGAAACAGGAAGTGACCAAAAACAATTGAATACGTCAATCAATCCTAATTTATGTTATCATTTTAATAACAAAAACATACCAAAACTCGTTTTTTTATCTGACAAAATAAAAAAGTTGTAGGGGTAAGCAACTTTTGAGACGCACCCGGTATACGACGATCGATTTAAATGAAAATAATTTTTAAATACTTCTACAACGAAGTCATAGTATCGAAATAAATTTCTAGGTAATCGTACAATTTTTTGACACGACGATCGATTTAGACGAAAAAATTTTAGGTACTTCTACAGCGAAATCACAGCATCGAAATAAATTTGTAGTTACTCCTACAATTCTTTGACACGACGCGCTGATCGATTTAGATGAAAAAAAATTTAGTTACTTCTACAACGAAATCATAGCATCGAAATAAATTTTTAGGTACTCGTACAATTTTTGACCCGCCGATCGAAATAATTTTGTTTCTAATATTTATTAGCCGAACGACCGGATTTTTTTTGTCTGAATTTCTTAATATTCTAATTAAAGTATGAGCATTTTGTTTTCTACCAAATATAACACGGCTATATCTTCGTTTCCCTTTAATAGTTTGCTTTACCGTGTTGCCGGTTCTTGGGTCTGAATACATCGATTCAACGTAAATCGGCTTATACACTTATACTAATGTCGAAGGTGGCGCCGCCCGTGACAATACCGGTGTACCCCAATCGTATATAAAAAACGTAAAACCATTTTTTCAGGCCCAGCTGAAATTTGGTCAGGGGAAGTGGGGAAACCATTCTAGACGATAACCACTGAAATCGTACTCAGACCCGACCCCGGGCCTGAAATGTCGAAATCGGGTCTGAGCCCAATGAAGCAACGTAGTTTTTGGGCTCGTATAAGCGGTTTAATAAATCTATATATATATATATATATATATATATATATATATATATATATATATATATATATATATATATTTGTCAAATTACATAGAAACCAACGCCACTCCAGCACAATGTTTTTTTCTACTAGTAATAAATCCCTTAAAATAATAATTTCTGAATATTTTTTAAAACGTAACTCTGTATGGAAAAAATATTGTTTTGTACACGACGATAAAATTGCATTATCGTCTCCCGAAATTAATGAATTAATCCTTTCAGTCGACAAAATGGTATTTTATCGTCTTGTATAAAAAAATAACTACAAATATGCGTTTTGAAATTATTGAATGTTATAAAATTCTGTCTCGACGGAATAAAAAAACGAAAAAAATTCGGTGTTATGTGACCCGCCGAACCTGATTTCGCACGTCTCACCTCCGCCCCTGCCCGAAAGAGAAAAGTTCATCTCTCCGACGGCCCCAGATCGGTGGTCCACCGTAATGACTTAACCAAACACGCCGTACGCATACGGACATCTTTTCGTTTTTTTCTATGTCAAGGTTGAGAGAGGAACCGCACACACACACTTTACCTCCTCCCCTGACTCCATCTCGGACCCGGGCCATATGCCCACTCGCGGTCAACATTTCGTTTAATTTATATTCAAGACTAAGCTATAAAAAGAAGACCGACCCATCGACCCAGCCATCACAGTGCTTGGTGCGGTGCGGTGTCCTCGTCGCCAAAATGAAGCCGTACAGTGCTATTATAGTGTTCGCCTTTTGTATACTCGGAGCTTTAGGTTCCGAAGAACTGTCCGGAACTTTCGGTAGTGTTCGCGACGCTTTCCACATCTACAGCGAGTGCAAACACTCGGACGGATTAGTGCCATGCCTCAAGATGAAAGCCCTCAAGCTCGTCGATAACCTCGGACAGATCGAGAACCTCAGCATTATCGAAGGTGTTGAGATCAAAGGAAAACCGGAAGAAGCTTCTGCTTCGAACCAATCGACCATCGAGGAAGTTGAGAAAACCCTTCCGAGATCCCTTGACGCTAAAAGTGACGCATTAAGCAAAATCTTAGTTGACAGGATCGCAAGAATGATCGGATCAAAATCCATCGAAATATCTATTCCTAAAGTGATGGAATCAGGTGAGTGAGAATTGACTAATATTAAATAATGATGAATTTTTCATGGTGAATTCGTTACAGCTCGTAAAGGAGGAGATGATTCAGACAAGTTTGGTGATATTGGAGACTTGTTTGGAGGTGGCGGCGGCGGCGGACACGGAGGCGGTGGCGGTGGTGGAGGCGGTGGCAAGAAAAAGGGAGGAAAGAAGAAGGGAGGCGATTCTGGTAAGAATTTACTTTTTTCTTATTTTAAATTGATAAAATGATGAGGAATTGTCTCTTAAATTTTATGAAGTTTGATAGAATTACCGTATGATCGGAAAAAAACGGTGTTGTCTTGAAAATGGCAATCGTTTTCATTTTATATATAAAATGACAGCGATCTTTATTTCATTGCCATCGCTGACAGTTTTTTTTTCGATCATATTGTACTAAATCTAGAATTAACTGTTCTGGATAAAAAATAGACAATAAACCTTATTTTAAATTGATGTCGCCATTTTTTCTTATGTATATGAATTGTCTGTAAAATTTTATGAATTTTCTTATAAACACTCTATATCTAGAATTAATAATTTTGGAGAAAATTAAAATAGTTTTTGGGTCTAAATTAAAATCTTATTTTAAATTGATAACCCCAGTTATACCAAGTCTTACATTTTGGAATTGGCTGTGAAATTTTATGAATTTTGATATAATATACTCTTTCTATCTCAAATTAACCTTTTTCTGGAAAAATAAAACATTTTAGACCTAAAATCTTATAGACTAATGCAAGCCAACATTATTGATACCCCCATTTTTTCTTATGTATTTGAATTGTCTGCACAATAAAACACTAAATCAACACAATAAACCAAAATACTTTTACTTTTACACTAGACGGGCGTTTCGCTAACCATGTTAGCATCATCAGCAGATGATTAAGACTCAATCATCATTATTTCAGTCTTAATCATCTACTGATGATGCTAACATGGTTAGCGAAACGCGCGTCCATGGCGTCCAGCGCGTCCATCCAACACGCGTGTTTTGGTGTATTGTGGTGATTTAGTGTTTTATTTTGCTGTGTAACACCAAAGGTTCCAACCCCAGCTGTAATTTTGAATTGTCTGTAAAATTTTATGAATTTGGATAAATAATAAACACTTTCTGTTTAGAATTAACCATTTTGGAGAAAAATTAAACACAGTTTTTAGACTTAAAATCTTATTTTATATAATACAACCTTTTTTTCTTATAGCGGGTATTTCCCAAAAAATAGCTCACCCCTAAACTTTTTTATTATTACAGATACAAAAAAAACGAAATTTTGTATGTTAGTATATGACATAAATTTGGATTGATTGACGTACTCAATTTTCCGCCACTTCCTGTTTCATCGGAAATTACTACAACTTTTGATTTTTAAATCTACCCTGAGTATTTTTTTTTACTTTATTTGATAGAAAATGTCATCCTCAATTTTAGACATTTTCAATTAAAAAATAGCATTTTAATTTTCATAAAACAATTAATTTTTAATCCAGGAGCTTTAGTAAAATAGTATTTTTAATCGTCACTTAATTTTATTAAATGGAACGAGGGTGGCTCGTTGGCATATTTGGAAAAGCATTTTTTTACGAATAATTTGGTATTGGTACATACATATTTCGAGACTGTCGTTATCGACAGCCTCGAAAAAATGGTTTTTAAATTTTTAAATTTAAATATAAATTTACGGCAGTAGCACTCTAGAATTTAAAATAATATTTTTTACGTGAAAATGTCAAAAGTTGACAAATGATATGTCATTATATTCCGAGTTCTTATCAAATATAGTAAAAAATACTGATACGGATGCATTTAAAAATAATAATAAATAAACAGCCGGTATATTTTAATGGACTATAAAATTTTATGAATTTTGACAGTCTACCTATATCGAGAATTAACCGTTTTGGAGAAAAATAAATCACATTTTTAGAGCTAAAATTTGTCCTCATATAGAAAAGTTATATAACCAAAAGATCATTGTTTTTAAATTTGTCTAAAGTCTCACACTCACTATTCACTGATGCGATTTGTCATTGCGGTTCGTCTATGCCATTCGTTTTGGATGAACCATGAGAGGAAATATCACGAACACAATGGACAATTTTCTAAACAAACTTACGAATCGCATCTACAAATAGTTAGTATGGGACTTAAACACTGTTAGTTCAGTGATCAATTCAAACAGTGTATCAATTGAAATAGTGTATATTTCGAAATATTCATTAGCCGTAGTATCGTCATGAGTTATTAGCTGTACCTGCCTTTATTTTTATTTTTTTTTTCATTACTTCAAAAGGAATACCTAAAGGCTATCAAAAACGAACAATTTTCTTAAAAAATCGCTAAAAAAATTTCAAGGAAATTTTCCTGTAGAATAAAAAGGGGAAATTTTATTTATTGTTTTTAAAATTTGCCTGAATTTTTTTATGTTCAAGTTGGCGATGCAACAGATGATTTTAACTTTAATCTTATAATTTATAGATTCACTGCAATAGGTTACAAAATTCTCTAACAAAAATTTAAAAATTTGTTCAAAAAAATAATCATGAATTAGAATCAGGAAAAACTGGTATAACGGACCGAGGCTAATAATTATAACTTTTTGGACAAAAAGCCATAAAATTCTTAATAATTATTTTATTAGTATTGAGTTAATTCTGAAGTAAGTATTTTATAACTATTTTCTAATTCTATTAACTAAACTTTTAATTAAATGATTTGATTTGTGTCAGGAAATTTGTTATACTTCATTTAAACTAAATATTCACTTTTGAAAAATACAAATAACTACAAAAATTTAAATCTTTGGAAATCCATTGTAATTTCAAAAGGCTACTGTGACGCCGTTTTTTTTTCTACATTACGATATACGTATTGGCCACCTGTGACCTTTTATATCGACAATTAAATGTTTAACTTATGTTTCTAGAAAATTAAGTCCGCTCATTATAGCGAGAAGAGATTTATGTATCCTAGTTTGTGAAAGCGCTTACTGCCTATAGATGCGCTACCTAGATTCTTATTTAAATAAAATATAAATAAACGTTCTGAATTTCAATTTATAGACAGAATTGTGTCTAGTATTTATAACAGATTTTTTTCATTTAAATTGATGTCATTTGTTAGTTATCGTGTAGTTAGGGTTTACATAACACTAACTACAGGATAATTGGCGGTGGTCTCCCAGTAATTCGAAAACATGTCCGAAAAATCTTAACGTAGGTTCGTTTAAATCTTAACGTAACTTAGGTTAGGTTAGGTTGCTGGTGTTTGGGATCTTGTATGATCCCTCACTCGGAGGCCTTGGGCCCATTGCGATACCCCTCTATTGTTGTACCAAACTTTCCTCTCATTCTTTCTTTGCGTTAAAGCACTTCCAACTCTTTGAAAAGTTCCCGATGTCGCTGATGTTGGCTTCTGCTGCTTCCTCTAGTCCCTCCAAAAAACCTTGCCCTAAAGTTTTAAAGCGTCGGTATTCTAGGTGCTCTATGGTTTCTTCTTCCTTACAGTTCTTCCTCTCCGTATTCTCTGCAGTAGCCGTCGTTGGAAATTTTCCATCTCACGAGGTTTACCCCCGTGGGACAGTTACCAGTGACGACACCCACAATTATGCGTACTAGGTTCTTTTTGTGTTCTAGTAGTTGTTTTGTCTTTTTGCTATCTACTAGTATCCATAGTCTTCAAGCTGTAGCGAAGCCCTCACGGTGTTGCCACGTCTCTTGCTGCTTGGCCTTGATGGCAGTTCCTATAGCTTCCTTCAGTGTGTTAATCGTCACAAGTGGTGGGTCATCTGCCACGGCGTCTCCCCTGGCCCCCTCTTTGGCGAGTCTGTCTGCTTCCTGATTGCCCACCACATTGCTGTGGTCTGGCACCCAGCACAAAGTAGCCCCGCCGGCCGTGACGCAACGCTTCTCGGCATTCCATCACAGTTTTCACGATCTCACTGATTACATGGTGATGCTTCTTAAAGCGCCCTAGCTGTCAGAGACAACTTAACTTTGTTGAATATTTTAATCTTAAACATGTCACATATCTACTAAACCGACAATGTTCCAAAGCATTCATCTCTATCTGTCCTATTTCATCATTTTCAGTGCACTCGTGGATGTGAATTCATTTGTCTTTATTTTAATATGATTACAAGTTATTTGAATGTAAGTCGACCAATGAGAAAAGCCTGTCATTTTAATTCACCAGTAAATTGTATTTTCTGTCATTTTTTGAATGTTATCAGCCAAAATCTTTCGTGACTCGTTCACAGATTTTAGCCCACGCTAATTGTATATGCAACCGATAAATTTATTGGGAAGTGTTGTCACATAATTACACACTTAATGAAAAAAAGAACGTGTATATAAATTAAAGAAAAGTTCAAAGTTTTCTCTTTTGTTAAACAGGATAATCAAATTCTGCTGTTTTGTAACGCATGCGCAGTACAAATCTTAGTATTGGTCACAAATGCAAAAGAATATATCTATCACATATTCAACTGCATTTAATTCCTCTTTTGTAAGGGGTGTTCGTCTGTCCAATAAGTCAGGGAAGAATATGGTTGGACGACATCCATAAAATGACAGAAAATACAACTTACCTGTGAATTAAAATGGCAGACAGTAATTCACTCTCTGAGTATTTTCCAGATTTTGTTCGGATTTCAGAGCTAACTTGACCTGAACTAATGTTTTTTTTAATGAAAATTGTTCTATGTTATTAACTAAGTTATAATATTATGATTAGTGAATGATCCATTAGGTCTGATATGGATACTCAACTCAAAACAAGAAAAGATATAACACTAAAGGTACAAACATAGTGGACTCTCCACGATGCTCGCCACGATGCTGATCACGATGCTCGCCAGCCAGCATCGTGGCGAGCCTCGTGGAGAGCATCGCGTTGAGATGAAATGCCCCACTACGTTTGTATCTTTAGAATCAAATTTAAATTTCAAGATATAGTTAAATAGATTTTTTCAAAGATCATTATTAAAAATAAAATTTTGAATTTTAGTTGATAAAATTTGCAGTCATTCGGATATAAATCCTTATTCCAGTGAAACTAGGTTGACAAGGTCCAAGTGTTCTTGGACCAAGTACATTCTATCATATCAACTGTTTTATCTAAGTGTAGTTGTAAGGCTTTGTAAAGCCTGGTTGACACACTCAAAGTTTACTTAGATCAAATACACATGAACGCTTCGCGCGTCTCACTTGGACGTCACTTGGATAGTATCAACCACAACAATGGTAGACGCGCGCAACGTTCAAGTATATTTGATCTAAGTACACTTTGACCAAGGCTTAACATCCAGCTAACCAGCCTATACTTACTTGGATGTTACAAAGCCTTCCAACTTGACTTGAATAAAACAGTTAACACGATATAAGCAGCGTACACGTGAGGCGTGCGCAGCATTATTATAAGTGTACTGTTAGCATCCAAACTTACTTTGTCCAAGTACACTTGGACTGTATCAATCCCCCTTAATTTACATATGATTGGGCTACAAAAATATTTTCTATTAAGAAAAATTGAAAAAGTCTTAACAAATTTATTGCTGAAAATACTAATGTTTTATTTTTCTTCTACTTCCTCAGGTTTGAAAGAATTGTTGATGCAAATCGTAGCCAAAAAAATCGCCCTCATCCCTCTCTTCATTGCTGGTCTCTTCGTGCTGGCCCTTAAAGCCCTTACCGATGCCAAGGTAGCCCTTCTGATTGCCGGTATCATCTTCGCCAAGAAACTGATCGCTCAGAAACACGCTGGAGGTAGCACACAACACGTTTCAGCAGGATGGAGTAGTGGTGGAGGTGGTGGCGGCGGATGGAACAGCGGTGGATGGAGTGGAGGTAAACAATGAATAAAATTATAGTAAAAAACGTTAAGCTTCGTTCAGAACCTCCCAATTAGTGGAATAAATTAGTGGTTTCAATTACACTTTATACTTTTAGTTTACTATTATTCACAATGTCTAAAAAACACAATTAAAATTAATAAAATATCCTAGCAACAGCATAATATTTAGCTTATAAAACAATACACTTTTAATTTCTAACCAACATTTTTCTTGACGGGTGATAATCAAAGGCCAAAATGACATTCCTCACAAATTTTGAAGTATAATTAGTGGAAAAGTCAAGTTTGTTAAGTTTTTCCACTAATTGAAAATTACTACCAATAATTATGGCGTTCTGAATGCTTACATTAAAACTAAGTGAACAAACTTCTATGGCTAATTGAAACTACTAATTTATTACACTGATTTCGAGGTTCTGAATGAAGCTTTAATCATAAAATTAATTAATAAGTCTGAATTAACTGTCTCTTGATATTAATCTCTATTACTTATTTGTTTTTTAACTCTATTTAGGGACGATCAATTTAAGAACCTAAGATGGAAAAAACAACGCGACATGAAATAACAGCGACCTTTATTTGCGCTAAATTGCTTAGCAGCTGATGCGGCTTATACAAAATCTTTAAGGACAAATATTTTCCTAAATATGTGTTCTTATGATTTACATATATTCACAAACTAAAATCTAATCACCCTTTCTACAGTGCTGATGATTAACAAGTATCACGGGGTTTATTAAGAAGAGAAGAGAAAATTTATTATTTTATTTTTCTAGCAAAAAATGGTAGTTTGTCTTAAAATTTTCTCTTAACATTCGAATTTCTCTAAAAACTCCTTTATTTTTGTAAATCTATACAAAGATGTCACAAGCATCCTAAATTGTTACTCCAAACTGGTGTACCAATCTCTTGCGGTAATTTACAATATCAAACTATCTTAAAACTAAACTCAAAATTCGGTTGGATAAAACAAAGTAATGTGTTTGTTCTTTATCCTTAAACATCTACATTAGTATACACTTAGAATTTTAATTTTAGGAAACATTTATTTAGATAGAACACAACATTTTTTCTAAACCAATATTTCTAAAACAAATTTCCATCTTTTTCAATAATGTAAAAAGTAGTTATACTAAACCAGCATAAGCAAAGTTTTGTTAGTGAACAAAAAATAAAATTAAATGGAAAAATAGTTAAATCGTGCAAATGTAATAGAGAAGAGCGAAATTTGGTTAGATCAAATCCTAGTAGAGTACATTGAAGAGTAAAAAGTGTTTCCTACTGCACCCTTGTTAGAAAACAAATTAAAAACCAAATTGAGAAGAAAGAAAGGGAAATACTAACGCCAATATCTCAGTGACTGATGTACCAAAATATAACCCTGCCTAAATTTCTTATTCAAGATTATAAAACATTTCTAAAACCATTCAACTAATTTAATTTGTAATAGCATACTACATTTTGATTTTTAACTACATCTATAATAGTTTTTGACAAGGAACTACAAGATTCTGAATGCAAAAAGGATATTAATAGATGTTATAGTAAAATTAATATTTTAATAATTTTCCTAATTTATTCTCAAATGTTAAAACAACTTTCTTATTATTCGAGACCTTCAGGTACTAAAGAAATATAAATTTTTGCTTAAAAATTATTTCCATGACGCTAACTGTAATAGGATTACACTTTTTATAAATCTTTTGAAATAAGTTTGGAAATTTCATTACTGAAAAAACTCTAAAGAACACTGAAGTTATTTTTTGAAAAATACCAGTGCTTATAATCTAAACTCAATCTGGCTAGTTATCGGTGGCTTTTTACTAGTAAAAAGTTTTGTTTTTTAGAAATGGACCCACCGTAAAGGATTAAATATTATTTAAAACCTAGTTTTCTATTACATCCATAATCATTTTCAAGTTCTGCTATCTAAAAAGAACTTTACGAGCAACGATATCTGAGAGATTTAAACTATACAGTACTTCGATTCAGTCCAAATCTCAACATGCAGTGGCGGCTTCGATAGAAATTTCAGCGAAGAGATGAGATCTGCGATCTTTTAACATGCACGGACCACAGATCCAGCGGGAACTGGACCAGAATATAGAGTGACGAAATTATCTTTTTTAAAATCTGAACGTGTAGGATAAAAATATCGTTATTGATTTGGCCTTAAAATCTAAACTATGCCTTTTGGCAAGCATATCATATGGTTTCATGTAGGACCCCTTTAATTCTATTAAAAATGACGTCAATGGAATCACGTCAAACAGTATGAGATAAAACATTGTACGTTCCCAATTCCTTTCAGTCTAAGAGCTAGCAACGTTTTCAAGAAAGTATTTTAAGACGTTTGGCTCTTTGATATATCTTTTACTATGCTATCTGGAACAGCATGCGGCCCGTCTGGCTGCCGATACCCGTTGTGTTCACTAGTGTGCATCGGAAGAAGATTCTATATTTTTTTTTAAATTTAGTCCTATAAATTCTAGTATTGAATATAAATCGAACATGTCTCCACAGCACAGTGCGTAGAGTTTTCCACTACGAACCGAGGAGTTCGAATCCGGATTAGGGCAAAGACTTTTTATTTTATTTTTGTTTATATTCTGATAGTAAAGTATTAAATAATTCTGGCGATTCAAGAAAAAAAGTCAAGTCTGTGCCCTGACCCGGATTCGAACTCTGAATCCCCGGTTCGTGGTCGGAAACTCTACGCACTGCGCTATGGAGACATGTTCGATTTATATTCAATACTAGATTTTAAAGCAATAAAGATTAATTAAAATATAGGATCTTCTTTCAATGCGCAGTAGGGAACGCAACGTTTACCAGGAGCCAGACGGGCCGCATGTTGTTCTAGAGAGCATAGTAAAAGATATATCAAACAGCCAGACGTCTTAAAATACTTATTTTTCCGACGTAGCTAGCTCTCGTACTATTTTTACAGTATTCGTTTCCAAATTCTGTCACTCACACAGAAAAATTTAATTTATCGACCGTATAACATAAATATCTACTTATTACCATTTCTTTTCAAATATTAAACAAATATTTTTGTTCTTTTTTCAGGTTCCGGAGGCTGGGACCGACGATCCATCGAAGCCCAAAAACTGGCCTACAAAGCCCAAAAACAGGCGTAGTACAAACCAGTGACATTTATAATGTCAGAGAACTAATCAAAGAGAAGTAAACATGGCGTGTTACAACTATATATCATGATAGGCCACCGTTCTCATCTAGTCATCGATGCATAATAATGGCACTGTTCGCTTTATTTTCGACATTCATCCACACCATAACCTTATTATTTATATTCTTCGTTGTTTTAATTTGTGTGTCACGCGTACGCCCTGTTGTTTGCTCAGGCATCTCCAATATCTATTACAAAAATAGCAGCTTTCTTCATATCTATCCGAATGTTAAATTTATTCAAAAACCGCCGTGTGAAATGTTCTCTTGTAATGTAAATTTCGCGTAGTTGCGGCCGAATTTCTGGTCGTAGTCATCGTTTTTTTTTGTTTATCTTCGACTGCCATTCTATTTATTATCGTTTACCTGATAATTACCTTAGTAATAACTTATTTATGTTATTTATTTTTTTATTTCCATTGTGTTATTGTCAAAGTTTATTTTGCCAAACAATAAAGTTTTTAATTGAACAATGAGTTTTTTTAACATTTACACCAAGCCCATTTGAGTAGTTTGAGTGGAATACTATCACTATTATGATTATTTTAATTAAGTTTGTATTAGTAAAGTTTTCAACAGTGACCAGTGAACCAGAAAATTATACCCGGTGGTGTCAAGATAATGGCTACCCTGTTAGTTTTATAGCGAAGTCCAATAGGTTTATTGGATAGTCATTAAAGGTCTGCGTATGCTGAATATACATTTCAAATTTGGACAATTTTCAACCAAGCTGATTTTAAGTAATCTAAGAAAAACTGCATTTATTTTTAAATTATAAGAGGTAACAATGCAGAACTAAGCGATGTTAATGTCAAATTATTTTTTTCTAAATGTTAGACTGTTGCCTCATTAGAACCAGTTTTAAATTACAAAAATGCATATCGAGGACTCTGACCATAGGTACTATAACGTAGTGGTGTAGCAACAAATTGCGTTTCACAATGATAAAATTATAACATTTGACTGGTTTTGCATTGTTATCTGTTAAGTGTATTCAATACACACACACACACCTTTAAAAAACTATTTACGACTTACTACTTCTACCCAAACTACAATACTCCAAAGAGCTCTCAAAACTTTTAGGATGCACCTTCAGCCAGCTAAGTCACTTAGTACCTTTAGTAGATGACTGAAAATCATCTGCGAATGATGCTAACGTCAGTATTGTGGATTCAGACTCAAAAACGAGTTCTTTTAAAGAAAATTCAAAATTTTTTATTATGCTCTTTACTAAAATATACTTACTATACTTACAATAAATGAAGAGATACATAAACTATCCTAGTGTGCATAATAATTTAGAAAAATTACACATTGGAAAGTTTTAGAGAATTAGAATTTGTCAAAGTACTTATACTTCTAAAACTTAGTTCCCTGATAAAGACTTAAAAATATTTTGGAAAGTATTGGCAACGCATTATTCAACTAGGAGTTAGTTTAAGACCCTGTAAAAAAATCAATCTGTAGAAAGTATAAAAACAGTAATTAAAATAGAAATCATTTTTTTTTGTTTAAAATAATAGGGTAGAGTTACTTAAACACTTGTAAGGTAAAGAAAAATAAAAAACTCACACACTTTCATTCAATTTTACTATTTAAAAAGCATTTTGACATTATAATACCTGTTTCCCATCGATTCAACAAGCTTATTTACTTGCGATTTTAGATCTAATCGGGCACACACAATCCAAATCGGTCACAGTTTCCATTTCAGACTCTTCTTCACCCGATCTCTCCTCAACTACTTCCGTCTCTCTTGCGTTCTTATAAAAATCATTATCCTTCTTTCTTTCTAGCTCGATCGCTGCAATTTCTAGGCCGTATGGGTACGGTAACATCCCTGCCCCTCTTCGGTGGAGGGTCACGGTTCGAATGCAAGGTCAATTACAACGGAAATCGCTATAAAATACCGGGCGGCGCGTGTAGCACGGGCATTAGTAAACAGCATCCCGGTGCAGCATGAGAATTCCCGCGCTTTTTCTCTTGTTTTGTGCTGCAACGGCAACGATATCCGCCGAAACAAACAGTATTGAGGGGGCCGGGTTCCGCGCGCTGCTCAAAGTCTACGACGAGTGCGGTTCCGCTTCCGGCGGGTTTTCGACATGTCTCAAGAAGAAGGCGATAACTTTCTTGGACAGGTTAGGACGCATGGAAAAACTCTCTATTTTGGACGGGGTGGCTTTGGTTAAATCGCCGGGAGACCAAGCTCAAGAAATACACTCGAACTTAGTGACGGAGAACGAAATCGATAAAAACCTTCCCAGGTCCATCGAAGATAAGGATGCAGCCCTCAATACCATGTTGATGGATAAAGCTAGCAGTATTTTAAGCTCGAGAACTATCGAAATATCCGTTCCTAAAGTCTCAGAACTAATTGAAGAAGGTAAAACAAAAAAAAAATATAATTTGTTGACGTTTTTTTTTAAATATTTAATCTCTTACAGGCAGAGGAGGAGGAGGTGGTGGAGGCGGTGGCGGAGGAGGAGGAGGAGGTAAAGGAGGCGGCGGTGGCGGTGGAAAGGGAGGTGGTAAAATGAAGGACATGATGGGCGGCATGATGATGGCCATAGCAGCTAAAATGGCAGCCCTTATCCCGATCGCCATAGCCGGATTGTTCCTTCTAGCAGGAAAAGCTCTGGTCACGGCCAAAATAGCGTTGCTAATCTCAGGTATAATAGCTCTAAAGAAACTGTTTGCTGCCAAACACCAGCATCACACGGCTCACAGTTCTGGCTGGACTAGTGGGGGAGGAGGAGGCTGGCAACCTTCGGGAGGTGGTTGGGATAGGAGATCGATTGAGGAAGCTCAACGAGCTGCAGCATACAAAGCTTACAAGCAAGCTTGAGACGCCATTTTAAGAGAAACGTGTAATTTATTATTATTTATTTGTTAATTTATTTTATAATATCGTTTTGGTACAAATTTTGATATGACCAGTCATTTAATTCATTCACTAACATCAGTATCATACACTCAAAATTTTTGTAATCAAGGCTTAAGTTTCATTCAGAACCTCGTACTTAGTGGAATAAATTAGTGGTTTCAATTAGCGTAGAAGTTTGTTCCTTTAATTTCAATGTAAGCATTCAGAATATCAAAATTAGTGGTAGTCATTTCTAATTAGTAGAAAAAGTTAACAAACTTTTAACTTTTCAACTAATTATACTTCAAAATTTGCGATGAAGGTCATTTTGGTCTTTGATTATCATCCGTCACGAGAATTTGTGGTTATAAATCAAAATTTGATTTTTTATAAGCTAAATAGTATAATTTTTTCTCCGTAGCAAGCTGTTGCTAGGATATTCTATTAGTTTTAATTAAGTTTTTTAGACATTGTGAATGATCGTAAACTAAAAAGTATAAAGTGTAATTGAAACCACTAATTTATTCCACTAATTGCGAGGTTCTGATGGAATCTTTAAAATAATCAAACTCAAATCACCTGGATTATAGAAATTTTTGAGTTAAAATATTTTTAGGATTATTTCTACATTCATACTCATTTTCCGATTCATGTTGAAATCTAGTCATTATATTCAATCTTTTTTATCATTTAGTATCATCGGTTTGCTGCAAAAAATCATTAAGTTATCAATTATTTTCGTGGAATTTAAGTTGAGAATTTTAGTTCTGACAGCAGAGAATTCAACACAATTCTAGTACAATACAATAAAACGCCTGTTTAAGCCTGGTGAGGGTTTTGCTGACCATATTTACACCATCACTAAGTGATTTAAGTTAAATATCATTATTACCAGTTGATTAGAACTAGTTTTAATTATCTGGTGATTGTGATAATATGGATAGCAAATACGCATCCAGAGTTTATACGTTTATACAAGTTTTTGGTGAATTGTAGTGCATTATAATTCTGAAAATCATAAACAATGAAAACATTTTTAAAAACAAACATTGTAAAGTCGATTTTTTTATATACAAATAATTTTATAATAAGTTTGTGACTTGAAGAGTTTTGCATCAAATTGGAGATACAATAAATTGGTTTTTCAAATCATACGAAGAAAACAATATTTGTAATAACTGTTTTAAGTTAATTCAAATACGTAATAAGTATATATTATTTCATCATCTTTCATCTACAAATAAAAAATATGTTGAACTATATATTTTTGTTTTCTTTACTACTTTGACCTTTTAGAATCTAGATCAGATATATTGTTACAGATACCCATTTGCGTGAAAAAATAGCGTGAGAACAATATGGCCAGTTTCCCACCAATTAAATCCGCTATTCATTCATTTAAAATGGTAATAAAAAGTGGAGAAACTGTGAAAGTGCAAACAAAATGTTCCAATTAGACTAATTGTTTGTTTGGATGTTCTCAGTGCCAAGTTATCTGCTTCAACTCGTCGTTTTCTTTCCGTTTTCTTTTATGCGGAAATGAGCACGCTATGATCGTCTATGACCGCATTTTTCTGGAATCCAGCACGCATATGTACATTGCTTCGGGTCAAATAGACTTATCGATGAGGTCGTGTCCTTATGTGAGTTTTATTAGGATTTTCACTTATTGTCACTGGTACCAGTCAGTAGCGCAGGTTGGAAAATTTATCTACTGTTGTTTTTTTTTTGGATAAATATTGTTTTTATTTATTAGAAAAGAAAAATACGGCAGAAATGTATATATTATTTAATATGCATTACAAAGACCGTTTACTGCATCGGTATAGATATAACTATGAATGTTGTTAAGTTGACACACTGATTTAACAGGATGCGATTATAGTAGTTAAATTATCATAGCTAGTTTTGATATTTAGTGATAAAAACTCCTGGTTTGAGGAATTTGATCGATCTACCACGATTGCTTATTATATTTTCGAAGTGTGATATTTTACTTACATCAGAGTTTTTATTAAACTACTTGTCATGGCTAGATTGTAGGGGAAGGGGGAAGTTAATACCCGCAACCTAGATCAATTTTGTAACCCTTTCCTGAATTATAACTCATCATAGAGTCTCAGGGCTTTGACAGAAGCTAGTATCTGATACTGTTTTACAGAGGCTAGTTCTCCATCTCCGATATCAGTTGTAAAAAAATGTATGGTACAAATATATGGTTGTCGTGTCGACGCACTCAATACATTGACGATCCACTGCGGTGTTCATAGTGGAGACAATGCCCTGTTCAAAATCCCGTTCCAGGTTAAGAACGGAGTCTTCCAGGTTCGTGAGTTATCAGTTAGCTATTTCTGTTCCTGCTTTAGTTTTGAAAGCATCCAGTATTCTAGTTATGATCTGTTGATTACATTTAAATTCGAACTGCCACATGTTTAGCCAAATAAATTATGTATTATACCCTTATACAAGATCAGAACGTTTTTTCTGGATATAAAATAATGAGGCAATTAATTTCTCCTTTATTTGTTCATTCAATGTCTTCGTATTACCCAAGAGTCCAATAATATTCTTATTCTTCTTCTTCAGATGCCTATCCATTCACTGGATGTTAGCGACCACATTTTGAAACCTGTCTCTATCTCTTGCGGTGTTTATGAGCTCTCCTATAGTCTTCAGACCGGTCCACTGTCTGATGTTTCTCGCCCATGACAGCTGTTTTCTACCTATTCCCCTCTTGCCTTCTATTTTTCCTTCAAGTATGAGCTGCAGAATGTTGTATTTTTCATTTCAAACTATGTGTCCTAAGTAGGAGGTCTTCCGTTTTTTAATTATATTTAATAGTTCTCTCTCCTTCTGCATCATATTGAGTACTTCTTCATTAGTTATCCTATCGGTCCACGATATTTTCAAGAGACGCCTGTATGTCCACATCTCAAAGGCTTCTACTTTATTTATAGTATTAGTTTTCATGGTCCACGCTTCCACCCCATAGAGCAGGACGGACCATACGTAGCACTTTGCATATCGTAGACGCAGCTGCAGTTGGATGTCTCTGCAGTTCAGTACGTTTTTGAACTTAAGAAATGCTGCGCGCGCTTTTTCTATTCTTGTTCTAATTTCTCGCTCAGGGTTCCAGTCCACATGCAGCCAAGAGCCAAGATACTGATATTTTTCCACTCGTTCTCCGATATTTTTCCACAATATTCTCATTAACATTTGTTTATTTATAAATCTTCGGAAACAGATTTTTTTCTAAAAAATGTATATTTTCTAAAAAATAGCCTTTCTGTGAAATGTTATAATTTTAATAAAATGTACTTAAAGCCAAAAATAAAATAGTAGTAGGCAACAAATAAAATATTATTATTATATTTGTGGCTTTAAGTAAATTTTGTTACATTAATATAATTTTATAGAAGGGGTTAATGTAGACTAGCATCCCCGTGCTGCACCCTAGGTAACTCCAGCATAAAGGTGCTGTTAAATTGTCTTTGGCGATCTGTACGCTTATCTGAGGATATCCCAGCCACTCAAAGGATACTCAACCACAACTATTACCTATATAATGCCCTCCGACTAATAAAATTGAACATAGAGGGCATAAAAGCCTACCAAAAAGATATTGCCAGAAAATAAGATGAATATCGTTTTATTACAGCATGCCGAAATATGGTACTGAAACATCAAACAAAACAAAACAAACAAAACAACGCTTTATTGTACAAAAAGCCAAAACAGCTTCATCGACAAAGCACTCACAAACAACAAAATCACAAAAAAAATACAAACAACAAAAAATACATAATACAAATAATACAGTTCAAAAAAATTCTTTATTCTTAAAAAGTCTTTAAAATTACAAAAAGAATATACATGGACAATTTTAGAACAGGACGCAGTAAATAGATATATTTTAGAGTTATAAAATATTAAATACTTGACCTTTGACCAGTGTGTGAGATGATCAAAATTTTAAAATTCAAAATTGTTCATAATTAAACATCAACAAAAAAGTCATTTAACGCATATAGGGCTCTCTCCAGTAGGTATGATTTTAGAGCTTTGCGAAATGCGATTGTACATTTTTTTGGCATTATACAGTATTTAACCTTTAACTAGTTCTGAGCTCGGGGTTGGCAGATAAAGATCGTGCTCTGCATTCCTAAGTGGATAGTTATGAGATGGCCTTTCGGGAATAGCAGATATGTGCTTGCGGATTAAGCAAACGGATTCAAAAATTAATAAAGAAGAAAGAGTCAGTATTTTCAAATTTTTAAAGAAATTCTGGCAGTGAGTTCTACTGTTCAGTCCCAATAAATATCGAACTGCTCTCTTTTGAAGTCTGAAAACACGATCAAATTTTTTTTATCGAAAAACGATACCGCGAAAGTAACATATTAGAACACAAACAAACATTTATATCATCAGGTTGAATCTTGCCGATTCTGAAATTATAATAGATGTCTATAAGCTTCCAATACAAGCATGGATAAATGACCATATAGAAAATTTTGAACATGCGGGAATAGTAACAGTGATTTTGAAGAGCAATAACAAAAAAATGGGCGGTAGAGCTGCAAGTGACGATGATGGGATTAGGGTTTCTGACTGGACTGGAACAGCAAATATGTTCTTGTTTTTTGATTTCAAATATAAAGAAATGTTTCATTGGGATGGGCAGAATATTATATTTCTGAATTTGGTTTTAATACTATTGAACCACAAAGCAGTGCCGCTGCATTGTTGTAGGAGAAGTCAGCAGAAGCCAGTTCTGACAAAAATTTTCCTTTAAATCTCCATAGTAAGATCCATTCCAAAACTACGATAGAACTTTCAGAGAAACAATTTGGAGAAGTTTTATCAAGAACTAGCGTGTACCAGCGACTTCGTTCGCGTCGAATTAATCATTTGTATTGGTGATGATAAAGCAAAGCAAGAATTTCCATTAACATATAAACTGGATAAAATTTTATCACATTTATGTCAGCATGAGAAAAACAATATAGCGATATTATTATATAACTTATATTTGAGGGGTAGTTTCATCTCGTTGAAATTTGACTTTCGAAAAATCCGTTTGCCAAATTTATATACCTTTTACGTCAAGCAGTTTAGGCAGAATCGTGGTTAAGAAATTACCTAACTTTTTGGAACACCCTGTATGATTAAAAAATTTCAAAATATGTAAAAAAAACAAATAAATTATG